AGGAAAAAAAGAAGCACCATAGTCCACTTAAACACCTAACAACCTTTGTAAGGGAAGCCTTCATTAAGAAGAAACATCTCATGACAGTCTTTTTTAACTTGCAAAAGGCGTATGATACAACATGGAAATTTGGTATCTTGAAGGATCTGCTTGAACTGGATCTAAAAGGGAAGCTGACTCAATTCATAGAGAAAATCCTGAAATACCACAAAGATTTCAAGTCCGTATTGGAACTATGCTATCAAAACTGCAAAACTGTTATAACCTAGGAAAGGTTACTGAATAGAATAATCACACAAAGTTTGGTAATGAATGATAATACTTAGGACACAAACAACACATATAAGATTTGCCAGTGGCACGTAGAAAAAGTAGTCAACTAACTAGAAGTGAGTCAAGTGAATTCCACAATGAATCTCCAACTGCAGGCCAACATACAGTATTTACTATTGTATTTATGTGAATGGGGACATACCCATTATCATCAGTAGGTATGCTACAACAAAAACCAAGGGGTTCCACAAGCAAGCATCTTTTTGGTGAACCTATTCTGCATAAAAATTAACTCCATAGTTAAATCCCTAAGCCCAGGAGTGAGATGCTCCGTATATGTTGACAATGTTCTAATAATGTACAGATCTCGACATATGTATACCATAGAAAGACAAATCCAACAATGTTTCAATAAAATACATGAACAGACCATGGAAAATGGTTTTACATTTTCCAAAACGAAAACCAAATATCTACATTTCTGCAAATTAAGAAAATTGCACAATGACACCTGTTTAAAATTAGAGCAGAAATCCCAGTAGTGGAACAATACAAGTTCTTAGGCATCATCTTTGACAAAAAGTTAACAATCATTCCCTATCTAAAATAAAACTAAAATGTAGTCAAGTCATCCAACTTCTGTGTGTGGTAGCCTATACTGAATGGGGAGCAGACTGACAAATATTAATTAAATTATACAGACCACTACTTCACTCAAAACTGGATTATGCTAGTTTCATATATGGGTCAGACAGAAAATCATACCTAAAAATACTCAATGCAACCTATCATCAAGGTATCAGACTAGTACTTGGAGCTTTTAGGATATCCTCAGTGGAGAGCTTATAGACAGAAGCTAATAAAATCCCTCCACGTTTAAGACACACTAAACTAGCACTCCAGTACAACATTAAAATAAAATCATGTCCAACTAAACCCACCTTACAGCAGTACCTTTAAACTTAATTACTGTGATCTATTCCAACAAAAAGATAATACAATATAACCCTACGGACTCAGGATGAAGTCCATTGCTGAAGATTTAGGGACCTCACTCTCAAATATACAAGAAATGACTGCTGCCAGTATTTCACGATGGTTAATCAAGCAACCTAAAAACTTACTCAAATTGAATAACCGAAAGATGCACTCACTCACATTCCAGGACAAGTTTCGGGGTATATTGGAAAACTACCCTAATCATTCACCCATCTATACAGATGGGGCAAAGTGTAAGGAGATGTGCAACAGTGAGCCAAAATATTACCAAAAAAAATGTACCTTCCAAAGGGAAGTTTTATTGAGGAGGCTTATGCAATAGAGCTAGCTTTAATATTATCAAACAGAGCAAACAAAAAAAAATGTCTTTTTTTTTTTTTTTTTTTGGACTCACTAGCAATCCTAATGGCTTTGAGAGGAAAAAACAATCAAACAACCCACTCATTATCAAAATTGTTCTGTAAAATGAGCAGCACTACTTGCAAGTATAAAGACATTAAACTATGTTGGATTTCTAGCTACATCAGAGCAGAAAGTAACAATAAAGCAAACTTAGCAGCCAAATCAGCTTTAGATATAAAAGTAGATTCAACAATCAAAATCCCAATCACTGACTTTAAGGAGGTCATTAACAAATATATTCGAAAGGAATGGTAACAGTGCTGGGACGATAACTGACAGAATAAGCTCTTTGCAATTTAGCCCAAACTAGGAGAATGAAAGTTGGCTTTCAGAAAATCTTGAAAGGAAGTAGTACTGGTCTGTTTATGCATTGGCCACATGAGAATAACCCACTTGTTCTTCCTAAACAACGAAGATCAACTAGTATGCCAAGCATGTGAAACAGCATACATTATTAAACATATATTAACCAAGTGTTCAGACCTTGCTCTCTCAAGACAAAAATGCTATAATATAAACATCTATGAGATCTTTGAGAAAGCAAAAGTGGATGACATAATATAATTTCTTAAAACAGTGGGCCTTTACCAAAAAATATAAATTAAAAAGGAATGTCAATAAAATCAATTTCTCTAGAAACTGCATATCTGAAAAGAATTCATCAATGAAACCAGACTTTTGACAAAAACGCTCTTTACAAAAATATGTTAATGAAACCTGATTTACAAATGGGTATCTTACAAAGAATACATATTCTATTCATACAAATCTATTGTAAAAATCTTGTTGGCATTAAATAACTCATTGAGGTTGATATGCCTTAAACAAACCAAACCTATACACACACATACAATAGATAGATATAGACAGAGTAGACATAGGAATCAACACTGCATGTTGACTGCCAGTTTTACATTTCAGTGTTACCTTGAAGGTCACTTGTAATGTGAAATTGGCAGTCACCATGCAGTGTTGATCCTTATCATATTGTCTATATCTATGAATGCCCCATCAATTATATTGAGCACTTTTGTAAATATACCAAATATTAAACTTATATATATATATATATATATATATATATATATATATATATATATATATATCTGTAGAAAATAAATATCTCATATCTATTTATTTTTTTTAGAATGTTATTTTATTTCTTGTTTTTATCCGATTGTTTTCAGATAGTAAATTCTTCAGCATATGAAGCTAGAGGTTCTAACAACACTTGAAATGACAGGTTATGTCATAGGAGCTTAAGTTAAATAACAATAATGCTCATATCATTTGATGATCTTGTGTTCTAATTAGACAATCCTTCAACAGTAAGACTGTATAGAGGCTGCATAAAGCAGTGTTTTGTGAGGATAGCTATTTTGTTTGTAAAGCAGCATATTGTTATGAAAGCTATCTTGTATAAGCAACAAAAGAGAACACAGTTGTTTTGAATGAAGAATTTACTACCAACTGCAGAACATCTGCCTAACAGCAGCAAAACTCTAAACACAACATCTGACAACATGTGCACAATACTAATTAATCTACTATTAACCAACAGTTCACCGAGTATAGCAGTGATAACAAAGACTTAAACATAGAAGAAATGAAAGTTTGATTTTTGGTTAGAAAAGCAGTCATTGTTTTACAAGTCATTTACTAAGGAAGTAGAAAGCATACCAGGTCCACAAGCAATTGATAATGAACCTCACAGAATTAAAACTTTACCTAAGTGTAGATAAATCAAACACTGTTATCTTTGACTTGATAGACAATTGTTGTTATTACCAGTTGAACTACAACGACTGTCTCCATTCATCTCTAAGTGTAGATATTTACTTAATTTTGTCTGGCAAAAAGAAAATAATAGTAGAGCACCCAGTGACATGAATTGAGTTTAAGATTTTTTTTTTTTATATTGGGATCTTTTGGAAACCAACTCAACTGACCTGCCACTGATTTGTTGATGGAGTCAATACACTCTTAATTTTTTTTCTTTTTAGATGAGTAGATTATTCAGGTCAGGTTAGATCAAATTAAACATGTTACCATTATTATTTGAATGCAATATTAACCTCTACTTTTAAAATATAGTGCTGTAAGATTTGAATTTTTTTCTTATCCATAAAAGAAAGGTGACTTATTGGGTAGTCTATGTATTAAATCATATCAACTGCATTTGGGCTGAGTACATTTTCTTCTCTGATAGCTGAATTTAATTCTCTGTTCATATTATAACTCTCAAATTCCAGGTTTAGAAATTAGATGAGTTTTAAAGAAATAGAATGGCTCTAGTAATTCATATGTATTCCTTATTACTATAAACATCATTTTTAATGAGTACATGTTTGATTTGCTATCCCAGTTTTTTTAATTTTTTAAATAGTGAAATTAATAACTAGCTTAGAAGTCCTACTAAAGAAAAATGTGCCTCTCGTCAGAAATTGAACTTTCATCACTTTTTCCCTCTACTCTTATAGCTGAAGCATGCCATTACCAATTTAGCTACACACAGACATATTTAATAATAATAATAATGATGATGATTAATTAAATGCTCACTTATGTCTCTCTACTCTAGGTTTCACAGGAATTACATCCACTTTTCTGGAAAACTGATTGTAAAATTAGATTTATTTTCAGAAATCATATTTCCCTACTTACAAAGACAGCTCACCTTATAAATGTCATCTTCCATAAATATCTTGATTGACCGTTTTCTTAGTGATATACTATCTTTGTTTTTGCAACATAGCTATCTATTAAGTTTTCTTTAGTCTTGCACAAAAGCTCAAAAGAGGATTGAACCCCTCATGCTTGATGGCCATCACTTTATACTTGGTGTTGGTTTCAATCCTTCCAATCCCCTCTCCAAATCTATAGACAAATCCTACAGATGCATGCTGGGACTTCTTCCTAACCAATAGAAACAGATCACTTCTTGGTCTTCTCTGCTATAAGTTCTTTCTAGTCTTGAAATCAGAACCCTACAATCACTTGACTGTATTGTTTTTTTGCATGTGAACACCATTCTTACTTTGTGAATCTTTTGTCTTATTACTGTTCCTTGCCCACTTTTGTCTTGCATATATATTGTTTGTTTAGTATTATTTTGTTCTGTTCCTTTTCTTATTGTTTATTGGTAACTTTATCAGTTCCATTTGATGAGCATTTTTACCAGTTACATTTAACCATGGACAATGACTCCACACACCCAAAAGAAAACCATAGAGATGTTTATTAAGCTTAGCTTCACCTGACATAAGTGTAGGACATCCAGTGAGAGTAAAACTGGTTTATGAGATTGGATTATTAATCACTGCTCTATGGTCAATAGCAGTAGGCCATTTCACAAGACTCAAACACTGCACAAACAGCAGTATGTGATATTAGCTGATTACTTTATGAAGTGAGTCACCATGATTAAATGCAAAATAAGTAACAGAACTGTCTGACAAACAGAATTGAGAAAATTTTGCAATAAGCAAAAAAAAAAAAAGTAAAGAACAGGACAAAAAATAATATAAATAAAGCAAACAATATATGCAAGGCAAATTAACAGTAATAAGACAAAACAACAGTAATAAGAAAAAGTTCATAAACTAATAATTGGGGTTGACACACAAAAGCAAGTTTGGACAAGTGAGCATATCATTCTGACTTCAAGACAAGACAGACCAGGACTGAGTCAGATGAAACTAAGAAATGGGCTATTTTATTGGCTAGGAAAAATACCAGCATACATTTATGTACTTCTGCTTATAAGCTGGAGAGGCGCAAATGTTTTGCAGTTATTCTTAAGCCAGATTATATTTTAGTTTTGTTTTTGGGTTCATCCCCTCCCCTTTTTCATGATCGTTATATTTTTATATATTTTTATAATAAAAAAAAAGAGACATTTGAACTACTTTTACATAATGCAATTTTTGTCACTTTTTTTTTTTTGTAGGTTCCCTGTGAATATCTGGTATATGTAGGATTGAATGGTGATGGATGAGTTCTTGTTGTGAATGAGTAAAATTGTAATGATGGATTGTGAATCTGATTAGCTAAGTCTAGGATAGAAAGTGTTGACCAGCCCTACCCCACTTACCCTTTGGTCTTGTGCCACAGTTGTTATATCTTCAGCAATAAAAACCTATTCCTAAGCCAGATTAGAACCAACATAATTATTACTTTAGAGATGATCCCCACAAGTACTATGTATTTTCATATGAAATAGACCGAATGAACCTAACAAAAAGACTAGTGACTACTAAAAGAGTTGGTGAGCAACTAAGTAAGATGAACTGAGTTAGTGAGTGTTACTAATCTTTGTAGTCTTCTAATGCCTTTTCTCTATAAATATATTAAAAACCTGATGTTCTGTGGATGGAACCAAATATAAAGAACACACAGCACTGATGCTTTGATAATGACTGGCACATCTATGAATTATGGGATGTTGTTTTAGAGGAAAAATAAGTGAAAACAAAGAACAGTTAGCCTAAAGATTTTGCAATGAGCCACATCACATGCTTCAAGAAGGTTAGAGCCAGCATGTCTACAGTGAATTGAGCAAGTCAATCTCTAGATATCAGGTCTAGTAACCAAAGTCTTGATAGCCCCAAAAACCTTGTGATCACAGCTTCAGGCTGATTAATTGTTGTTAGAGTGGTCATAATTGCAATATAATCTCTATTCCATAGTACTATTCACATATACTACTATAGTAAATTATTGCATGTTTCAGTCAATGCAGTGCATATGGATAGTATTTCCAGAAACCGTAATGTAATAAGTATCTGATTAATAAAAGAGTATAGTAAAGATCTGTCTGTATTTCTTTGATGAGGTATTGTAATTATTTATATGTCCTTAAGGACATATGGCCCTGTGCATAAAAGTGTTAGTTGAAGTAATCCAGTGACTTAACCCAAAGAGTTGTGAGTTCAATACCTGACCACAGCAGAGGAACAAAAACTTGGAGAGTTGAGTTAAAGGGAGATAACTGATACTGAGACATCTGGAAGAGGCATGGGACATGGAACTAGAATAATCTACCCTGGTGAACAAAATAAAGGGTTCAGTTTGAAATTCCAATCACCTAAAGAAACGTCATGAATATGGCAATAAAGATGACGAAAACAGTCCAAGCAATATAGTGTAAATGAGTATAGTGAGATGTGTTACTTCAGTGTTTATTTACGTATTCTTCTGAATCTCTTAACCCTTTGAACCTGAGTAGCTGGTATCCTAACCACTGTGTGAAAGTGCATATACCCAGGCAGCTGGTAGACCACCTAGAGTCATGGATAACAGGTGCCCAGGCTGAGAGATTCATACTCATCAGAGGGCCAGAGTTCAAAGGGTTAAGAAAACTTTCTTATTGTTACTTAGATAACTCTTGATTAAAACCAGGAAATGCCTTTCATCAGGTGAGTGAAAACAGTTCAATAGAAAAATATTTGTTTACAAATACTTTTTCTATTGATATTTCTTCATAGTTGAATTTAATTTACCATATCTTTGTGGAATAATTTGTTCATTTTGTTTTCCATTCAATTTGTCAATAACAGAGCCAAAATTAATATTTTATCTGCAATTTTAAGAGTGTTTATTTAATGTTTGTTTATTTTCTTTTTAAATGGTGGTGCCAAAAAAAGTATGCCTGACAATGGTGAAAATAATAATTAACTAAATAATAGTTACAATTACCTCTATTAATTAATAGCTACTGTAATCAATGATAACTTTTTTCTGCCACCTACAATCTTAAAAAATGTAAATGCAATGTCATTTGCTATGTTCTGTTTTCCTGAATTCTGTTCTTCTGTTGTCCTTTCTCCTCACAAAAGTTTTTTTTATTTCTCTTCCAGTGACATTATCACCTTGCTTGGGGGTGAATGAAAAAAGAAAACAAACAACAACAAACTCTATTATAAGAACCACTTGAATATAAGATTGGGAAAGCCATTTGGGGATTTTCTCAATGAAATATCCAAGGAGGAAATAAAATTTCACTCCAAAGTCACTCTAAATAAGCATCCCTTGAGTAACTCATTCCCAAGAAATATGGTTATAAAAAGGATCTACTTCATAGGATTGCAAAATGTCTTGGAGAAGTCATTGTTTGGAATGGTTTTGCCTCAGATTTGGAATTCCAAAATAAATAAAAAAAGAAATATATCCTGATCTATTTAGACAAAAGACTATAATTCTTCTTCCCTGTTTAAATAAAATGTCTTTTTGGGTATGAAAAATGTGCTGGTTAATTTCTCAGTAGAAACATGATATTACACACTCAGACACACACACAATTGCACTTGTGCCAAATTAAACCTTCCTTTGTTAATACTCTAACATGACCACATGATGAAATTTATTTGTGAGTAGTGTAAAATAGTTTTACCAATAAACTTGGGAAAAGATTATTATTTTCAAAAAGTTTTCTTTTTCTCATTTATCAAAAAACTTTTTTGTCAAAATAGCTAAATGTATTTATTTGTTTTAAATCATAAAATTAATGTCTTATTTTAGTCAAAAAGAAAAAATGGCTGAGCAAATCTAGAGAAGTAAATAAAACTCATTTTTTCTAAAACATTCTTTGGTTCATTATTATAATTATTTTAACTGTGTTCTGGTAATCCTTTCCAGATTAAGCCTGAAATTGGATAACCAACATTTTGATCAGATTACAAATTTAAAATAGCTATAAAATGTTTCTTTTTGAACAATTCTATTCAAATTTCATGTAGAAAAAATTTCATTCTCAATTTAAAAGCTTTATAGTGTTCCATTTCGGTCATTTTTAATGATGTATAAGTTTTAACATATGAGATTTTGGAAAGATTATTTTAAAAATATCTGATGTCAACAATAATATGTGATAGACAAAGTTAAAACAGCAGAATTATCCCAAGATAATGTTTTGCAATAGCTACCTCTTTTTGTCTACCTATAACATTTTTTTTAAAATTTATTCTTAAAAATTGTACAATGAACAGATATTAGACAAACCTTTGAAGAAAAATTCTTCAAAGATAAATATAAACAAAGATTGAAGTCATTCCATTTGTAGTAGAATTTTTGTTTTCCATTTTATCCAGGTCAACCTTATTTGTTTTTGAAAACATTTTTATGTCTATTTCTGTTTTGGGGTGTTATTTAGAAAATAAAACAGTTCTTTTTGTGATCAAACAAAATATTTTTGTCCTCAATCTTAATAACATAACATCCTCATAACAACTATATTAGTGAATACAAAAGGTGAAAATGCAATGTACAAATGAGGAAGGTTGCAGAACACATTAGCTTGAATTTTGGGGTAAAAACAACAAAGTGAACTTTAGATGTCACTCTACACATTATTCAAACCAGTATTTTCACTTTTGTTGACTCAGTTGACATCATCCACACTGGATTTGAAACAAAGTTCCGGGACAACTTTTAATAAAAATATATATATATATAAAGTTGTGCGGGAACTTTGTTTCTAATCCAACATTTCAGATTTATTGATTTATTGCTATAATGACGTTTTGTTGCGTCTAGCAAAATTTTGACAACACATCATATGTATTTATTTTATATTATCTGTTGAAAGATTGACATGTACTCTAATAATTTGTAAAATTTCCACAAGTGTTGACAACTAAAATTATCCGTTATCTCATAACTTAGCCCTTCTCTCATTCTGTGCCTGTATCTTCTCATTCACTTCTTTATTCCTTCCAATCCAAGATTAGCCATTATCTTATGCTCCTGTTCTTCTCTCACCATTTGTCTGTATCTTCTCATTCACTCCCTTATTCCTTCCAATCCAAGATTAGCCATTATCTTATGCCCCTGTTCTTCTCTCACCATTTGCCTGTATCTTCTCATTCACTCCCTTATTCCTTCCAATCCAAGATTAGCCATTATCTTATGCTCCTGTTCTTCTCTCACCATTTGCCTGTATCTTCTCATTCACTCCCTTATTCCTTCCAATCCAAGATTAGCCATTATCTTATGCCCCTGTTCTTCTCTCACCATTTGTCTGTATCTTCTCATTCACTCCCTTATTCCTTCCAATCCAAGATTAGCCATTATCTTATGCCCCTGTTCTTCTCTCACCATTTGCCTGTATCTTCTCATTCACTCCCTTATTCCTTCCAATCCCAAATTAGCCATTATCTTATGCCCCTGTTCTTCTCTCACCATTTGCCTGTATCTTCTCATTCACTCCCTTATTCCTTCCAATCCAAAATTAGCCATTATCTTATGCACTTGTTCTTCTCTCACCATTTGCCTGTATCTTCTCATTCACTTCCTTATTCCTTCCAATCCAAGATTAGCCATTATCTTATGCACCTGTTCTTCTCTTGCCATTTGTCTGTATCTTCTCATTCACTCCCTTATTCCTTCCAATCGAAGATTAGCCATTATCTTATGCACCTGTTCTTCTCTCACCATTTGCCTGTATCTTCTCATTCACTCCCTTATTCCTTCCAATCCAAAATTAGCCATTATCTTATGCCCCTGTTCTTCTCTCACCATTTGTCTGTATCTTCTCATTCACTCCCTTATTCCTTCCAATCCAAAATTAGCCATTATCTTATGCCCCTGTTCTTCTCTCACCATTTGCCTGTATCTTCTCATTCACTCCCTTATTCCTTCCAATCCAAGATTAGCCATTATCTTATGCCCCTGTTCTTCTCTCGCCATTTGCCTGTATCTTCTCATTCACTCCCTTATTCCTTCCAATCCAAGATTAGCCATTATCTTATGCCCCTGTTCTTCTCTCACCATTTGCCTGTATCTTCTCATTCACTCCCTTATTCCTTCCAATCCAAAATTAGCCATTATCTTATGCTCCTGTTCTTCTCTCACCATTTGCCTGTATCTTCTCATTCACTTCCTTATTCCTTCCAATCCCAGATTAGCCATTATCTTATGCTCCTGTTCTTCTCTCACCATTTGTCTGTATCTTCTCATTCACTCCCTTATTCCTTCCAATCCAAAATTAGCCATTATCTTATGCCCCTGTTCTTCTCTCACCATTTGTCTGTATCTTCTCATTCACTCCCTTATTCCTTCCAATCCAAGATTAGCCATTATCTTATGCTCCTGTTCTTCTCTCGCCATTTGCCTGTATCTTCTCATTCACTCCCTTATTCCTTCCAATCCAAGATTAGCCATTATCTTATGCCCCTGTTCTTCTCTCACCATTTGCCTGTATCTTCTCATTCACTCCCTTATTCCTTCCAATCCAAAATTAGCCATTATCTTATGCACTTGTTCTTCTCTCACAATTTGCCTGTATCTTCTCATTCACTTCCTTATTCCTTCCAATTCAAAATTAGCCATTATCTTATGCCCCTGTTCTTCTCTCACCATTTGTCTGTATCTTCTCATTCACTCCCTTATTCCTTCCAATCCAAGATTAGCCATTATCTTATGCTCCTGTTCTTCTCTCGCCATTTGCCTGTATCTTCTCATTCACTCCCTTATTCCTTCCAATCCAAGATTAGCCATTATCTTATGCCCCTGTTCTTCTCTCACCATTTGCCTGTATCTTCTCATTCACTTCCTTATTCCTTCCAATCCAAGATTAGCCATTATCTTATGCTCCTGTTCTTCTCTCACCATTTGCCTGTATCTTCTCATTCTTATTCCTTCCAATTTAGCCATTATCTTATGCACTTGTTCTTCTCTCATTCCTTCCAATTCCTTCCAATTCAAAATTAGCCATTATCTTATGCCCCTGTTCTTCTCTCACCATTTGTCTGTATCTTCTCATTCACTCCCTTATTCCTTCCAATCCAAAATTAGCCATTATCTTATGCCCCTGTTCTTCTCTTTCTCACCATTTGTCTGTATCTTCTCATTCACTCCCCATTTGTCTTATTCCTTCCAATCCAAGATTAGCCATTATCTTATGCCCTGTTCTTCTCTCTCCATTTGCCTGTATCTTCTCATTCATTCCTTCCAATCCAAGTTAGCTTATCTTATGCCCCTATCTTCTCATTTGCCTGTATCTTCTCATTCATTCCTTATTCCTTCCAATCCAAGATTAGCCATTATCTTATGCTCCTGTTCTTCTCTCCATTTGCCTGTATCTTCTCATTCACTCCCTTATTCCTTCCAATCCAAAATTAGCCATTATCTTTTATGCCCTGTTCTTCTCTCACACCATTTGCCTGTATCTTCTCATTCACTTCCTTATTCCTTCCAATCCAAGATTAGCCATTATCTTATGCTCCTGTTCTTCTCTCACCATTTGCCTGTATCTTCTCATTCACTCCCTTATTCCTTCCAATCCAAAATTAGCCATTATCTTATGCACTTGTTCTTCTCTCCCCATTTGCCCTGTATCTGTATTTATTCCTTCCAATCCAAAATTCCATTATCTTCCTTTCTTCTCTCATTTGTCTGTATCTTCTCATTCACTCCCTTATTCCTTCCAATCCAAGATTAGCCATTATCTTATGCTCCTGTTCTTCTCTCACCATTTGCCTGTATCTTCTCATTCACTTCCTTATTCCTTCCAATCCAAAATTAGCCATTATCTTATGCACTTGTTCTTCTCTCACATTTGCCTGTATCTTCTCATTCACTTCCTTATTCCTTCCAATCCAAAATTAGCCATTATCTTATGCCCCTGTTCTTCTCTCACCATTTGTCTGTATCTTCTCATTCACTCCCTTATTCCTTCCAATCCAAGATTAGCCATTATCTTATGCTCCTGTTCTTCTCTCACCATTTGCCTGTATCTTCTCATTCACTCCCTTATTCCTTCCAATCCAAGATTAGCCATTATCTTATGCCCTTGTTCTTCTCTCACCATTTGCCTGTATCTTCTCATTCACTTCCTTATTCCTTCCAATCCAAAATTAGCCATTATCTTATGCCCCTGTTCTTCTCTCACCATTTGCCTGTATCTTCTCATTCACTCCCTTATTCCTTCCAATCCAAAATTAGCCATTATCTTATGCCCTTGTTCTTCTCTCACCATTTGCCTGTATCTTCTCATTCACTTCCTTATTCCTTCCAATCCAAGATTAGCCATTATCTTATGCCCCTGTTCTTCTCTCACCATTTGTCTGTATCTTCTCATTCACTCCTTATTCCTTCCAATCCAAGATTAGCCATTATCTTATGCCCCTGTTCTTCTCTTACCATTTGTCTGTATCTCCTCATTCACTCCTTTATTCCTTCCAATCCAAATTAGCCATTATCTTATGCTCCTTCTTCTTCTCTCCCATTTGCCTGTATCTTCATTCACTTTATTCCTTCCAATCCAAGATTAGCCATTATCTTATGCCCCTGTTCTTCTCTCACCATTTGCCTGTATCTTCTCATTCACTTCCTTATTCCTTCCAATCCAAGATTAGCCCATTATCTTATGCCCCTGTTCTTCTCTCACCATTTGCCTGTATCTTCTCATTCACTCCCTTATTCCTTCCAATCCAAAATTAGCCATTATCTTATGCACTTGTTCTTCTCTCACCATTTGTCTGTATCTTCTCATTCACTCCCTTATTCCTTCCAATCCAAGATTAGCCATTATCTTATGCCCTGTTCTTCTCTCACCATTTGCCTGTATCTTCTCATTCACTTCCTTATTCCTTCCAATCCAAAATTAGCCATTATCTTATGCCCCTGTTCTTCTCTCACCATTTGTCTGTATCTTCTCATTCACTCCCTTTATTCCTTCCAATCCAAAATTAGCCATTATCTTATGCCCTGTTCTTCTCTCACCATTTGTCTGTATCTTCTCATTCACTTCCTTATTCCTTCCAATCCAAGATTAGCCATTATCTTATGCCCCTGTTCTTCTCTCACCATTTTGCCTGTATCTTCTCATTCACTCCTTATTCCTTCCAATCCAAAATTAGCCATTATCTTATGCACTTGTTCTTCTCTCACCATTTGTCTGTATCTTCTCATTCACTCCCTTATTCCTTCCAATCCAAGATTAGCCATTATCTTATGCTCCTGTTCTTCTCTCACCATTTGCCTGTATCTTCTCATTCACTTCCTTATTCCTTCCAATCCAAAATTAGCCATTATCTTATGCCCCTGTTCTTCTCTCACCATTTGTCTGTATCTTCTCATTCACTCCCTTATTCCTTCCAATCCAAAATTAGCCATTATCTTATGCTCCTGTTCTTCTCTCACCATTTGTCTGTATCTTCTCATTCACTTCCTTATTCCTTCCAATCCAAGATTAGCCATTATCTTATGCCCCTGTTCTTCTCTCACCATTTGCCTGTATCTTCTCATTCACTTCCTTATTCCTTCCAATCCAAGATTAGCCATTATCTTATGCTCCTGTTCTTCTCTCACCATTTGCCTGTATCTTCTCATTCACTCCCTTATTCCTTCCAATCCAAAATTAGCCATTATCTTATGCCCCTGTTCTTCTCTCACCATTTGCCTGTATCTTCTCATTCACTTCCTTATTCCTTCCAATCCAAGATTAGCCATTATCTTATGCCCCTGTTCTTCTCTCACCATTTGCCTGTATCTTCTCATTCACTCCTTATTCCTTCCAATCCAAGATTAGCCATTATCTTATGCCCCTGTTCTTCTCTCACCATTTGCCTGTATCTTCTCATTCACTTCCTTATTCCTTCCAATCCAAAATTAGCCATTATCTTATGCCCCTGTTCTTCTCTCACCATTTGCCTGTATCTTCTCATTCACTTCCTTATTCCTTCCAATCCAAAATTAGCCATTATCTTATGCCCCTGTTCTTCTCTCACCATTTGTCTGTATCTTCTCATTCACTCCTTTATTCCTTCCAATCCAAAATTAGCCATTATCTTATGCCCCTGTTCTTCTCTCACCATTTGCCTGTATCTTCTCATTCACTCCCTTATTCCTTCCAATCCAAGATTAGCCATTATCTTATGCTCCTGTTCTTCTCTCACCATTTGCCTGTATCTTCTCATTCACTCCCTTATTCCTTCCAATCCCAAATTAGCCATTATCTTATGCTCCTGTTCTTCTCTCACCATTTGCCTGTATCTTCTCATTCACTCCCTTATTCCTTCCAATCCAAGATTAGCCATTATCTTATGCCCCTGTTCTTCTCTCACCATTTGCCTGTATCTTCTCATTCACTTCCTTATTCCTTCCAATCCAAGATTAGCCATTATCTTATGCTCCTGTTCTTCTCTCACTATTTGCCTGTATCTTCTCATTCACTCCCTTATTCCTTCCAATCCAAAATTAGCCATTATCTTATGCCCCTGTTCTTCTCTCACCATTTGCCTGTATCTTCTCATTCACTTCCTTATTCCTTCCTATCGAAGATTAGCCATTATCTTATGCACCTGTTCTTCTCTCACCATTTGCCTGTATCTTCTCATTTACTTCCTTATTCCTTCCAATCCAACTAAGATTAGCTATTATATTGTAATATTTCTTGGTCAGGAAACATAACTCATTCCAGTTCAAAAAGACTAGGGATTAGACAGATACTACACTCTGATCCTAGGTAGAAAAGCATAAGTCATACATACAAACAAGGAGAAATAATAGATTTTTTAAAAATGCAAAATAAGCAAAAAAAATTTCTAAAATATAGATGACTATCTTTTGGTTAGCGTAATATAGCAACAACTCTAAGTAGAAGTTTATGAAGCTTTATTTCACTAATTCAGCTTTAGCACTGAAAATGTTTATTTTATTATGGTGGATGGTTACAAGCGAGAGGTAAAATGAGATGTGTTTATTTTATTACCACAGGTTAGGAAGACAGAAGATACTAATGAAATTCTCAAAGGACTTTATTTCTTTATAATATAGATATTTCATAAGTACAGCGTGTGATGGGTAAATTGTCATCTAAATTACACAAAAACGTAAATAACACTGACATCTCATTTTAACAGATATATTTACCAAGATTACACAAAAATATCTTGAAATACTAAAGAGGAAATTTATTCAATAAAATCACCATTGGCTTCAACCACAGCCCCCAGACGACTTCAGAATCTCCTGCAACTCTTTTTGTTTGGTGTTACAAAGAGATTTGTTGGTCTTTTGCTCAACTGTGTCCCACACATAATAATCAAAGGGTTTGCAGTGTGGGAAGTTAGGTGGCCAGATCTAAGGGGTGACATGGTGCAGAGTCCTGTTGCCAGATATAGGTTCTTTCAGCTGCCAGCCTCTTGGCCCAAGGCAGCACTATCACCTCAAGGCACTTGATGTAGGCCTCCATGTTGAGTCTGAGGCCCTGTGGAAAGATGAATGGAGGCATAATGTCGCCGTCCCTAGAGATCACTCCAAACGCCATGATTTTAACTGGATATATCATCCAACTCTTTCTGAATCCTCTGAACTATCCTCAGATTGACAACCGAATGGTCTGAAATGTTCATATTGGAGCTTCCAGCATCAATACCAAGCAGTGCAGTATGCTGTTTCCAAATTTTCTGGCAGAGCGAATTGTGTCATGATGCTCTTTTTCTCACAGATGGTGTCCAACTGACTGACTGTGCAGGTGACAAAATAAAAACAAGCAATGTGCATGCACAAAATTAAAAATATAAAATGGTGACAATTTACTGATCACACCCTGTATTTATTAAATTTAGTTTAGTCAGCCTTAAGGTCAAGTGATGTGAAATTGTGAAATTGTTGCATTCATCTTTGTCATGCAGATTAGCCTGCTGCAATTCCGCATTTGAAATCCTGACTCTTTAGCTTGGTTTTGAACATAAGTCATTGGCACCAGTGCTAGGTATGAAACTAAACTTTACTATAAATAACAGATTTTTTTCATTCTAAGATTTTCATAAAATTTTTATTGACTTAGCAAATCTGAAGTGTTAGTCATAAATAGACATATAGATAAAAAATAGATTTTATACATCCAAATATTTTTTATTTAAATCTCAGTTTTTTTTTGTTTAATTCTGTCATATTTAACTGTTCATTATTTGCATTTGTATTTATTGTAAAGTGTAGCTATCCAATGTTATAATTAAAAATATAACAGTTTTTATTTACTTAGTTTAACTTGGCAAAAGGCTATAAGTTCTGGCTTAAATGTTAAAAAAACCCAATTTTTGTTCATTAGCATTAATTAGACTTACCCACCAACATTTGTCAAAATCAAGAAATATTCATATTTTTTTTCTTTTATCATTTTATAAGAGGGTTTCTGTTCATAATATAAGAGCAGTGTTAAATCAGTTTTTTCCTCTTATCATTTTCAAAGGAGGTTTCTTCCCTGATTTCTTAAGAAGTTGGAGGTGTAGAAGAAGGTCTAATCAAAGCTAATCTATAAAAATTATTCCTCCAAAAGTTTTCTCTGAGCAGACCAGTTAATTTAAGTAGTGACAGGAAATCTAGAAATTTTGCATACATTATCAGTTTCACTTTCATCACTGCCACCACAAATTGATGACATAATTCAATTCCATTCTTTTACCTGAAAGGTTTGAAAAACTTGACAGATTCACTCTTGGCCTTGATAAGAGAATTTTTTTTTCTATCTAAAAATCTTTCTTGTACTCAGTACCACATATATGATTTTTAAGAATTAATGATTTGTTTTGTTTTTTCCTGTTCTATGCAATGGATGTTAAAAAGAAGTTAAATACCTGTGCATGTATAATATTTATAACATACAAGAGGGTGCTGAAAAGTTTTTACCTGAACAAGAAGCACTTAAAAAATAATATTCTGATGTTTGGTCATTTGATTAGATTTTGAGAAGTTGATAGAGCTAAAAACATTTCTCTATTATATCCCTCCCACTATATATACAGACTTTAAATATAAACATATTGATTGTAACATGAATTATTAGGAAAATTAATGACAAAGTGGAAAAAGTTTTTGTGTGATGTGTTTTGTCCTTTAGGATTTCATTGGACTAAAGCAATGTTTCTGTTAAATTAACTACACATTTTCACAAAGGGGATGGGATACTGAAATTTTAAACTTTATAATTTAAATTTTTTCTTATTATTTTTTTATTAGGTGTGTCTGTGTATATAGTGAAGCTGATTTCATTTAGTTTCTTTTTGTTTTGTTTATGTTTTTCTTTTGAAATTAAATATCCTGTATTGTGATAATAGAAGATCTGCCAAGTATGATGAAATGTTACAAGAAGCTGGGTGTAAATTTGCTGAGGAGGATCTAGTGATTAAAGCATTTTTTATACATTTTCGTTTTAGTAAATTGCTTTCTCTTATATTTTTTTTTTTTTTTAACATACAACGTGTGTTAGCACGTGCAATACCCTGTCTTCATCAGCTGCCGACCAGGGGTGATATCACGGTTTCAGTGGCTATGGCGGGACCACCACCCCTGGCGCCACCAGCAGCATTTGCCACCAGGCAGGGTATGAAGATAAGCTAATTAATTGTTCCTTTAAGTAAAATCTATCTGCAATGAAAGTTTCCTGAATGTGTTTGCCGTTATTGACGCGCTCGTAAAAATCATTATAGACGACCATGCAAATATCTCACTTGTGCATGTTAGGTTGTGATGTTATGCACATTTTATTTGCTTGTTTTGATCTTGACCAAATCCAACTTGACGCGTGTTGAACAGTTTTTTAAATGCGATAAATAAATAAAGTTTTTTGAATGCAATAAATAAAGTCACATTTTTTTAAATCAAAATTGTGATCAAACTCATTACAGTGAGCAAATAATGGACCAAGTGTGTTGTTTTGTAAAAGATCCCTTTTGTGTTCATAATCTTTTATTTAAATTCTTTGAGGTTTCTCTTATGTATTACTTGTGGCAATTATTACAGGTAATAGAATAAATTCCTCCTTCAAATTTTAGCTTATTATTATTTTGTTTTATATTAAGTCTTTTATGTTTTAGAAGTAGTTTTTAAAATTTTTTTGTAACATTATTTAACCATATAAATTATATAATCCTAATTATATCTGTACATCCCTATTCATCTATGCATGCATAAAGTACAAATTCACAGACACTTCTACTTGTTACACACACACACACACAGATATATTCATGATAAATGACACATAATAATATTAAATGTACATACATTAAATTCCTTGCCCATCTCAATATTCAGTGTTTTACTTGATGGTCTTGAGTCTTCTCATATGGACCTGTCATCTGGTTATAATAACAATTATTTCTCAGAGTGGCCAGCACTTTTGTATTTTCTATGACTCTTATTGCAATCACCTTTTAATCCTTTCACATGTTCCATATAATTTTTCTTCTCCTCCTTAAACAGCACTTGGTGCTACTGCAGATTATCTTGAAAATGGTACTTGGTAGCATTTTTTTTCTGTTTATATTTGTTAATATCATTCTAACAATGCTGATTCCAACTGTCCATTTCAGACTCCTTGTGGCTGGCTTGGTGTCTGAGCAAGTACAGTTTTTTTTTATGATTTATCAACCCTTTGTGGGTTATTTAAAGCCAAAACATATTTTGGATTTGGGCAAGTATAGGTTTGCACATTTGGCAGCACATTGGTGAACAGAGTTGAGTTCCGTTTTAACCTAAGATAGCTAGTAATTATTTTTTGTACTCACATTGTTGGAAAAGGCATGAGTCCAATTCTCTCCTATTTTTTTTTCATTGTCAGTTATCGTGGCTATAGTTTAATCATTGACATAGTGTAAAAAAGATAAGTGTGATGCTGTACCAGTTTTCATTATAATCTCCAAAATGAAAACATCATCATACATGGAAGAAACTATAGTTCATCCAAAGTACTTACTAACATAACTTGTTGAATTGTCAATTTGTTTTAAATTTTTTAAGAAACAAAAATTTAATATAGGATTGAATATAATCCATTTATGCAATGGATTTCATGATTTATTACTTATTGTTTATATAGCAACCATATGGAATAGGAAACAAAATTTAAATGAATCATTATTTTGCCTGATATACTGAATATATGTACACTATTTACATTCAGACTGTTTTCCTCATCTTTGTTGTTGGTATCACCCCATTTTGTTGTTATGGTCAACAACAATAAAAATTATGACAATAGTGTGGTAACGACAACAACAAAGATTAGAACAGTAGTGTGGTAACAACAAAGATTAGGACAATAGCTGATAACAACAACAAAGATGACAATAGTGTCGTTATGATAATAGTGTGGTAACAACAAGGATTATGACAATACTGTGGTAACAACAACAAATATGAGGATAACAGGTGTTAACAACAACATAGATGAGGACAATAGTCCAAATGTAAATAGTGTAAATAATGATAACTCCAGAAATTCAGAGAGAAAATACTAAATATAATATATTACTCATATAAAATAGCACCATTCTGTTGGTAATGCTTGCATTCATTTCTGACCACTAATAATTCCTTTCTTGATTTTCAATGCAAATTCTCTAACAAAAAACAATTAACA